CTCAGCAGATGATATAGTTCAGAACGTAACAGATACTCCTATTTCGTCAGTAGTGATTGACCTAAACCATGATGATTTAAAAGGTAACTAAAGAGAATGGAACAGCTTTTAGTTACAACAAATCAACATTGATAATAAGCAAGATGTGAAGTTTACGTACATTAATATTCGATTGGTCTATCTTTGTCCTTTAGGACTTTTCATACCTGATAAAGTTTGTGATTTTCACGTTGAGATGATTAAATCTTGGTAACGTTTAATTGTCACTCATGCAGACTAGAAACTACGTAGATTAAAGTAGACAAGATATAAATTATTGTCAAAGTCTAAAGTATTAATATAGGGGGTAAATAAAATGGAACTCAAATTGATCATAAAGAAAATATTTTAGTGCATCGCAATCGGCCAGTACGGTAAATTATATCCTTGATTTGATATGACATTGTATACTTTTTGATACGTCTAATTTTGCATTTGTAATTAAATAGCAAGCTACACCACATCGAGGTTGGTTATACTCCTACTTTACTTAAACTTTATATTGGGTCTAGAAGAAAAATCATGGATGTTGTAGTTTACTAAACCCGTGAGTTTGTCTTAACATGCGCCTTCAATCGATTGAACAAACACACTGCTAACTCGTAGCCCATTTGCTATTATCGAGGACAACTCTGCTGTCAGTTGATGAGCATCGCTCGGACCGGGTTTTCCATTGGACAAGAGAAGATCAATACCTCACGTACCGCAGTGATCTAACTCATTAAGCGTCGATCACTCCTCACAATTCATTCGCAAATTTGTTGGAGCGGAATTCACATCCGAACTAGCTTTCGCGAGGATGGATCGAACTAAACAAATACTGTTTGTAGTCTGCTTCACTATGCATTATTTCCACCCGAGTGAATGCGCAGTGGCTTCTGGCATGAGATTTGTCGATCCAAACAGTTTGGGAAACCAGCAGATCCTGATCACCAGAACAATTCCTGACTCACGTTTTGGAGTACAAGCGCGTGAACAAACACTTTCACCAACCGGTCAAACGCAACTGGTTCAACTGGTTCCTCAATCCGTCTTGACAGCCCAGAGTTCTCCCCAATTCATCGATCCAAACGGCTTTGTACTACCTCAGACAATAACATATCCTACACAATTAAACAGTCAATCAACTTTTGCATTAGGTACCAATCCAACGCAAAATATTATACCAGATGCAAACGCAGATACGACCAACGTTGAAGAAGTATCATCCCTATCAAATCCGGGATTGGTTTCACCAGTTTCTTCGACAATAATTGGTAGTCCAAATGACGGCGTAATTGGTCCGAATGGACAAATTCTGGGAAGTGCGCAGGATACCGCGGTCGTTGATAGTGNCGGACAAATGGGCGCTAGTCTACTTCACGGGAAATTATCCCAAGGCCTTACATCGGAGATCCCCGTGCAGTATCGAAGCGACCAGATCTTGCCGAGTCAGCAGGTTGTATACACGTATCCTCATGTACAGGGCCAACAGTTCGCCAATGTTCAACTGGCTTACGATGCCTCGGGACGTGCTTACCTCGTACCGTTGTCCCAAGTCGTTAACTAGCAGGCGAGTTACGTTCATACCCGCTGCCCTGTCTCTGTTTGTTCATCCGGTTTATTATTTTCATTGTGCTATTACATTTCTCTGATAAAATGATGTGATTATTCTTCAAAATTGATGCGGTCCAGCTTTTGGGGAGGTGTACAAATGCGAACGTCGGCAGAAACGGAAGTATACAGGCAACTGCTTTGCCAATTTTATCGTAGTTCTTACTGATTAGATAAGGCGTATATTCCGATGATCCCAAATGGCCTGTCCTGTTTGCGCCCGCAGTTGGTTAACTTTTCCCATTACTGTTTTAGAGCAGTCAGTGAATTGTTTCACAGCTTGACGTATGTTGGGGTGAAATGAGGGATGTCAACCATGATCACGTGCACTTTTCACGGTGCTGCGCTCACAACTTTCCGATACAATTCGCAGACAACCGAATAGACGATCTGTAATGGTGCACTAAAATTGCGTCTGTTGACTGGCGATTAGGGTCCAGAGCATTGCGTATAGCGTAAAATGCTCATCATCCGGTTTGAGGTTTGTTGGTTCGCGTAAAGTATAAGAATGCGGTTGCCGTGTTCTTGTATTGATCGTGTTACGTTCCAATCAGAGACCAGATCGAGGAGTTGCTTGACTCACCCACACATAAGCTGTTATTGTCCACAAAGATGGACAAAATTTTCATCAGGAATTTTTAATGGAGGACTTTGCGGGTGTCAGCGGCATTATGAACATGGTATGAGTGAATGATATCCAAAGGTGCTCCTAACGCTGACGGTAGATAGCGCAAGCTATTGAGAAGGGAAAAGATAGTCATCAATAGATATTCTATTCTCCTTATCAGTGCTATCAAAATATGACTATCTGAAACTGCCAAACGCATGGACGCGATACCAGTTGATTTCGCTTATTAATTCAAACAGGGACACCTTGCCTGGAGGTTTCGTGTTCTGAGGAATTTTTGTCTTGTCAGTAAGAGCGTATATTGGTAGATGCAACCAAATCTTGATACGTTTCAGTTCGAATGTTCATCTATGAAACGAAGTGATTGAGGGGTTTGAGTACGCAGGAGATAGTCATTTTGCGCAAATTGGGCCCACATCCACAGAAAGATACGTTCAATATCTGATTAATTTCAATATAGAAATTTCGGGATTCTAACCAATGGGTCATTCAGTTTATGGCGGAAGCGTTGGAAGCTAATTGTGGATTGGAACAGCTGTTGTTGCACTAGGATTGATTGACAGAGTCGAGCATATAAGACTGGCAGGCGAGAGCCGGCCCATCAATATTTTCACAGCGTAAAGATCTAGGCCATGAATAGCGTTGTTTCCGACCCCATACCTGACAAATTCTTTTACATAGTCCTTTCAACAAATGCTTTTCTTTTCTTTTACAATCCCGTGAGCGCTATTATATTTTACCTTGGCAACTGTAGTCGGTCTATTGCCTTCGATAATGGTGAGTTAAGTACGACGACTACGATTATTCGGGATGACCTTCTAAACGAATGCCTTAGAGAGTGAACAACCAAGGTACCACCACCGCTTGAACCAGAAGGACTGTGGTTGCAATATCCGTTTGTTGAAGTACCGTAACGCAGAGGATGTACCTACCTAACGTAGAACTGCATTCAAGCACGAAGGTGACAAAGACTGACGAGCGCAAGAACGTGCAGAAGGAACGAAAGCGAAAGGTGGCAGTTCTCGTGCGGAACGACACTGTATAAAACAATTGCGTACAGCAAAGTTCACAAGGCTTTGATACTGAGGTAAAAATGTGACCATGTGGCTTGGAAATTGCAGGGAAAAGTACTCTCCGACAAAAGTTAGCCATTTTCCGGATTTCTCCGGATCCGCACAATGGATCACAGAACAGACTGTAGTGAATGATCATGCCTAGAATGATTGAAGGGTATCAGTGTTGGCCTATCAAAAATTAATTTTACTTTTGTGAATTCGACTGTCTACCGATAGCATCAATAATAGAAAGTTAGGAAGAATGTTTTTCAGAGCGAATATGAAACCCAGACTGTTGTATGTGAATTAATACCTGACTTAGATGGTGGAAATGCTCATGAGCATCAGTTCTAACAATAATATCTGCATGAGAGAAAGAAGAAGTATCATGATCACAGGGTGTGTTGAATTCAACTATTTCGTGGTAATCTCATCAGCTGTGTACATGCATTCGGAACACGTTTGGTTGAAAGAAGGATAGGTTTGGGGACAGGCGAACACACACGGGGAAGAGAAATCAATCAATACGAAGGCCAAGGGTCACTAATATGAACCGAATTGGGCACAAGGGCAGGGAGCGGAATCACTGCACGGTGGGGAGAGTGGGGACAGTGACACCTACCAGCGGGCAGCGCGAGGTTAGCCACAAATTTGGTCTATATAAATAAATCGGGCTTGTAACGTCCATTGGCAGCCGCTTTAGTGAACCGTAGTAGACGGCTACCTTTCTGGCGGATCAAGACACGAAATGCGTCCCTAGGTTTGTCACATTCTTTGCAATCCAGTGTATGTCGGGCGATTGAACTGGACGGACGCTTGGGCCCGTCAGACGCCAAATTTTTCGGTGCATATTCTGCAAACCTTGTAAATAATCTCTCACTTCTTCCGCAGGTACACTCTTTTAACCAAACGTGTTCCGAATGCATGTACACAGCTGATGAGATTACCACGAAATAGTTGAATTCAACACATCCTGTGATCATGATACTTCTTCTTGCTCTCATGAAAATGTTAAAGGGAACTGGTTGCATGAATGATAATATCGTCCATATAAGCGATAGAGACGGGCAATCCAACCGACAGTGTCCAGAAATATTGCAGGTGCTCAGTTTACACCAAAGGGTAATCTGTTATAGCGATATTCGTGTTAGCTCTGTCATGACTGGTTCAAAGGACCGATCACACACGTTCGTCCTTCCATAGCCCTTGAGGAGCTTATTCAGACACTACTTAAAAGCATCATCGGTCGTCTTTTCCACCACAGTCACTGGAAAAGGATTCAAGCGCGTTGTTGACTTCCGCAAGAGTCGGTAATACTAACGAAAGACCAACCTACTGAAGATTCTGCAACGTGAGAGAGAGAGGGAGAGTACACTCGTATACTTTTCTTTGTCCGTAGCTGGAAATGCTGCTGTACCTCCGGGCGTATATCACCCCTCAGGATCATGCTCAGACAGATCACACACCACTTATTCGCAGATGCGCAACCGTGAATAATCCAGTGGCCTGTATACGAACTTCGTAGCTGGTCCCACGTGGGCCGCACGTTTTACACTCTCTAACTTGGTCAGTTCACCAGCCGTACAGGAGTGTCACCGGACCAACATACTCAAGTCTCGGTCTGATGTGGAAAGAGTACAGCAGTTTGAAGCGACCATCGTACTTCGACCAAAAGATCTCCGAATGGATCCCGGAATGCTCCATGTATTAGCAAAGACCCCATGGGCGATCTCTAGGGTCTTCAGTGATGACGTCACCATCACTCCTCAGGTCCCTTTCGCACAATGTTCTGCTCAATGAGGTTCCTTTGAAGCTCTCACCCACCTCCAAATCAGCAAGCTCACGTGCAAAGAAGGCACACTTAGCAGTATGAATCTGAAGGATCTAGGTATCGGTTCACTGAGCCAGGGTGTTCAGGTCTTCTGGTAAAGTTTTCTGATTCGCTGGACCCTCGATTATTTGCCAGATTCGCTTGTCACCCCCATAAATGATTGACGGGTTACACAGTTGACCGGACAAGTCATTGACGTAAGCCACGAACAGGAGAGGGCTAAGAAAAGAGCCTTTGGGGATACCACGTAGATAGCGACGTGCACAATTTCCTGTCGCTAAGGAAGTCTTGCAGACCCGCTGTTAAAAGGAGTCCAATCACAGGAGTATCAGTGTTCAGTGCATGTGGTGACGGGCCGGAGTCTGAGGAAAACATCGAGGCATAATGCGATGCCAGCATCGTAGCTTTGTCCGCACTCATCAACCCCCTCTCCTCGTCTTTGATGAGAGTCGAGAGACTAGGTGTGGCTCTGATTCGGCGCCCGAGATAGGCATTCAGCCGCTGTGGGGCATGAACCGAGTTCGCTTCAATGTGTTGCTCGAATAGAGTCGTTTTGCTTTTCTTCAGTGCAGTACACTGGTTTGGAATGAGTCTATATTCCTCATATCCTGCACTTGTCCCAATATATGTAGATCATGTCTGATTTCGCTATCGCAGGCACTTCCGTAATTCCGGATCAAAACACGGC